AAAAAAAAAATTCACCATATGGTCCTTGTAACAGATGCTGCAAAGACACCTGATAAAATACAATATACAACATCTTATACATAATACAGTGGTATACAATATATTTGCTTCTCTGACTGATCTCCTGTGATGAGCTGTGCTCCTGGAGAGCTCCTGTGACACTTCATCCTTTTTGTGTTTTTCTTGGTATTTTTGGCAGAACTAGGTAGGGTTCAAACTCTGGATTCACACTTGGACTTTTGCTACACCTCCAGTCCATTTTGCTGTGATTATTTTGGAGATGGGGTCTCTCAAACTATTTGCCTGGACTGGCCTCGAACCATGATCCTTCGATCTCAGCCTCCCAAGTAGCTAAGGTTGCAGGCGTGAGCCTCCAATGCCTGGCCTAATAGTTATCTGTAGTGTAATCTTTATTGATGAATTTGTAATTTTTTTTCAGACTATTTCTGTTATCCTTTGGGTGTCCAGTTACTGTGAGAGTGTCTTGCGACCATACAAATTAAATTTACAGAAAAAGAAAAAGAAGAAAAAAGAAACCAGCATCATCATGGTAATAACAGAAAAACACAAGTACAATCTGCCTGCAAGCTTCTTTTTCTGCATGTTTTAAGATCCTAAGGATCCTAGCTATATTCTTTTTCTTCCTCAGCTTTTTTTTTTTTTTTTCCCCCTTGATAAGGCTGGAGTTTGAACTCAGGGTTTTGCTTTTACAAAGCAGGCACTCTGTCATTTGAGCCATACCTCCAGTACATTTTGCTCTGGTTATTTTGGAAATAAGGGTGGTCTTAAGAACTGTTTTTCTAAACTGGTCTTGAACCTGTGATCCTCCATATCTCAACCTACCAAATAGCTAGGATTACAGGTGTGAGGAAGTGGAGCCTCACTCCAACCTTTCTTTTTTTTTTGCAGTACTATTGTTTGAACTCAGAGCCTTATGCTTGCTAGGTAGGCACTCTACCACTTGAGCAACTCCACCAGCCCTTTTTGAGTTGGGTATTTTCAAGATAGGATCTCTCAAACTAGTTGACTGGGTTGTCCTTGAACTGAGATTCTCCTAATTTCTGCCTCCTGACCAGGTGGGATTACAAGCATGAGACACAGGCACCTAGCTCAACCTTTTTTTAAGGGTCTTGCTACCATTCATGTAAGTCTTAAACTTCTGAGTAGCTGGGCCTACAAGGTTGTGCCACCAGGCCTTGCATATTTTTCATGTTCTTATCTTTACTTTTTTTTTAGACAAGGTCTAAGTAGTCAAACTTGTCTCAAGCTTTCATTTTTCTTGCCTTAGCCTCTTCAGTGTTTGTGTTTGTTTAGTTTTCCACTATAGTAAAGGTATCCATAAAGATCCACACCTGGGTTAGACTTGCCTACACTTTGCCACAATTGTTATGTATCTGTTTTGTTTGTTGAACCATTTGAAAAAACAGTACAAAATTGTGACAGCACATCAGAACAAGGCCTGTCTCCTACAAAAACATGTCTAGAAAGGCCGTTCAGCTCATGATTACAGAAATTGGGTTGGTGGGTTGGTGGAGTAGCTTAAGTGGCAGAGTGCCTGCCTAGCGTGAGGCTCTGATTTCAAGTCCCAGTATGACAAAAAAAAAAAAAAAAAAAAAAAA